TAAGTGATTGCTATGGCCCATAGACATCTACATCTATCCTCGATTACGAATCAAAATGCAGATGCGTTGTCACCCGCGAGGACTAAAATAGATTGCCTCGTTTTCAGTAAAAAGGGTCTCCGGATCTCTACACTCACCATACGAAACACTGCAGCATTAAGCTACTATTTGACGCTGGTATTCTGCGAAACATTTTATACATTTTATAATTTGTTCCTGTTTATATTTATTTTTTTTGCCATATTTATTAATTTATTACTAAATTTTGTATAGAATTATCTCTTGTTCTTATTTTTTGGATCCGTTTTCCCAACTCTAAATAAATAAACCCTTCACAATAACATTTTATATAAAATATCTATCTATCTACCTATCTATCGTTGTTGTGTATGTTTACTTTCTTCCTATCTAAGATAGATACTTTAATTGTACTTTCCTCGTAAATGCTATCAAATACACTACACATCGTCTGACACAATAATGTTACGAGCTTGAGGTTCGTGACAATAAAAATTGCCGATAGAATTACCTAAATTAACATTTTAATTTTCTTTACACCAATTAAAACTTAAAACACTAATAATTAAGCACACTGATTCACTTTATTTCGCTCAGAAGCTTCGCTTGTCTCGCCAAATTCAATACTTCTCTCGATCGCACCTTTCAGCGCCTATAAATACACATTAGTACCGAATCATCCAGAACATTCAAGTAAATACGCGCACCAATCGACAAAGCGTCGAAAGTTCGAGAGTCAGCTTCCAGAAGCTTAGTTCTTCGTTTCGACAACAGATGGCGCTGTCGGTTGAAAGATTAGTGATGTCATTTTCTGGAAAACTCTCCCCTCGCTCCGTTACCCGACACTAGATGGCGCTAGTGCCAGATGTCAACTTAGCCGCGCAACAATAATAACAGACACGTTATTGTAATTAACTGGGCCCAATCATATTCATCCCTAATTTGTTTAACAGTTTTGTCATTTAACACTTCGTGCATGCTATTCTTTTTTATAATGCCACTTACACAATAATTTTCGCTTCCACCAACACATAAATTTAACATAAATCCGATTCCATGATGATCGGCAATGCGCGACTCAAGACTTTATTTATATTATAAACAAGATTGAATTCACTTCACATGCTATTAATATATTTGAATAATGATTTTTCAATACAATAATACACAATAATATTAAATTTTCTAACATCAAAATGATCCTCACAACAGAATGCGGTAGTTTTTGGTCCAATAGAACCTGCTCTCTATGAAACGATTATGCACTTTTTTCTGATATTTGATTAGTATAGGACTATAAAAAAATATTTGGTGTTTTTTGGTCGTATTATTCGGAGACGAGACAATACTTAAATGAAGATTTTAGTCAAAGCTAATACGAGCGTTCTCGTTGAATTACAGCGGTGATTGACCCGCTCGAAATTGCGATCGAAATAGTAAGTTCCCTAAAAGTGGATACTCACTTGCCAGCCGCAGGGGCAATTCAGGGTGTAGGAGTGAGGTTGACTCTTAATGCCTCCTTAATTGTGATGTGTATATGCAAACAGGGGCATATTCTAAGTCGATCCTGTGGCAGGGTGGCAGGGGTGCTAGACCCCCCTTACTCCCTAGATCATAGTTGCCGCTGGCGTGTGTGTGGTGCAATTAGGGCAATTTTAATCAATTCGTTGGTGACTATATCGCAGAGCACACGTGTGAGTATAAGTCACAGTGATTTGACGAATAAAGAGTGTGAAATTTGGAGACGAGTGATAGAAGTGTACAAGGAGCGGCTTTTCATCCTGTATCTTCTTTTTCTCTTATTTTGCGTTAGCACCGCAGGAAGAAGGTCATTTAAACGTGGTAACGTTTCTAAAGGTGGTAGAGCTATGCTGTAACTTATAAGCACCATATTATGGTTGTAATTATTAATTAATTAGATGTTTTATCAATAAATGTGGGTATCTATAGGCTACAGTATTCACTTACCATCCCTTATTACCCTTAGTCTATATAAAAAGGAGCTGAGCCAAAAATCTATGTATACCGATTTATTTATATTTCGATGAATTTCGCGCCATTCTTAACGCGTGTGTCCAGCGAGCCGTACTGAGACGTACACTCTCATACTAAACTGCAGGTATGTGTGTAGATACGAGGGTGGATTGAAAAGTACTCGGCCTAACAGAGATCCATTCAATTCTAAAAATCAAATCTACCCACATTATTTAGTTCAGTTCAGACTAGTTCATTGCGTGAAGTTTGAAACGTGTGCGATAATTAGTTGTGATTTTATAAATTTATTAACAAAGTAATCGGACATAATTTCCGCCAATGGAGCAAATCGAGCAGCGTGCCGTCATTAAGTACCTCCATAAGAAAGGGCTATCATCAAAAGCCATCCATGATGACATGGTCAGTACATTAGGCGATTGTGCTCTGTCGTATTCATCCGTCAAAAAATGGATAGCCTACTGACGAAAATATTAAAAAAGTACTTGATTTAATAATGGGAGACCGCAGATTAAAAATTAGAGAGATAGCCGAGATTATAGGCATCTCTTATGAACGAACTCAAAACATCATTGTCAACGAGTTGGGTTTCCACAAGGTGTCTGCGAGGTGGGTTCCGCGACTGCTTTCAGTTGAACAAAAAAGGACGCGATGGACTATTTCACGAGACTGTTTGGAGATATTTGAAGCCGATGCAGATGATTTTTTGAATCGTTTTGTTACTATGGACGAAACATGGGTTCATTACTGTACACCGGAAACAAAACAACAATCAAAACAGTGCAGAAGACCTGGTTCACCACCCCCTAAAAGGCTAAGTCGATTTTGTCGGCAAATAAGGTGATGGCTTCAGTATTCTGGGACTCGAAAGGTGTGATTATGATTGATTATCTTGAAAGGGGTCAGACTATAAACTCTGATTACTACTGCACCTTACTACGTCGTTTACGAGAGGAAATAAAAGAAAAACGTCGAGGAATGCTCAGAAGAAAAGTCCTGTTTCATCAAGATAACGCCCGTGTTCACACGTCAGTACAGTCAATGGCTGAAATTCACAACTGTGGCTTTGAACTGTTACCGCATCCGCCGTATTCACCTGATCTGGCACCATCAGACTTCTTTCTGTTCCCTAACCTAAAAAAGCACTTGGGAGGTCAAAGATTTTCGACAAACGACGAGGTCAAAGCAGCTGTAGACGCATATTTTGACTCTAAGGAAGAATCATTTTTTTTCAACGGTCTAAATGCTTGGAAGGGGAGGTGGCAAAAGTGTATTGAACTTGATGGTGATTTGTAGAAAAATAAAAATATAAATGATTTAGTATGTGTTTATTTTCTTGGTTAGGCCGAGTACTTTTCAATCCACCCTCGTATTGAAACGATCGCTGTACACTCTAGATTGCCCTGCGGCGTGTACAGAGATTTCTCTGCGGTATGAAAGTGAGTATCCACCTTTATAGTGTGCGACGAGACCTCGCTGACGTCATCACGCTTTGTACGGCCGTACGGCCGACAGAATTGTGATGATTACATCGTGCGGGAATGCATAATTTAGTCTTCGTTATCTCAGTCCTTTTTCAAGATAGGAAAAAAATAAAAACACTATTTTTCTTGGAATTTTCTCTAGTTTTAAAACAAATACAAACAAATTTGTCAATTATAGATATTAAATTTTATGTGCCATCCTAAAGTGTAAACGAAAGTTCTACGCGTTAAAAAGAGTTCAACGCGCGCGGCTAAATTTGTCGCATTTAAGCAAAAGTGTACAGTCGTTAGACCGTGACCACCACCACCAGTAGGTACTAATACTACTACTACTACTATTACAGTCCATCACAAGTCCACTGCTGAGCATACGCCTCCCCAATAGACTGCCGCAAAGTACGGCCTGCTTGTTTCATCAGTTCGTCGCTCCATCTTGTGAGGGGTCGCCCAATACAGCGCTTGTCGAGGCTGCCACTCGAGAACTTTTCTTCCCTATCGAGAAAATGAAGAGAAGAGAGGACAAACCTTCTCTTCATTTTCTCTTTTTTTCTGTCTTCGAGCTATATTTCCGGGCTATTGGCACTTCAACTTATTGATCCGCTGTGCCATGACAGTAGCGTTACTATACAATCACTTCTGCACCTCGATATACCGACTGTCAGCTTGGAACCGATGGGGACTGTAGCACCGCCCAAATTACGACAGAATCGAAAACTTTCTCATAGATAGCCAGTTAGACCGTAATCGTATAAATACATATTTTAAGATGGTACAGCTCCTATTCTGACCAGAAGTCCGTCTGCGCTAATATTGCAGTCTTTTCTACATCTGCCACTAAGCAGCGGTACAATCACAGCTGTGTTTCGATTAGAATGGTATGGTTTTTCTGGCTGTCAGGCATTTTAATATCAGCCCACAGGGGTGACGACGTAATTGAAATCAATAAATATAAAATAGGTTGTTTGATAAAATAATAGAAAAACACACAAATTATAGAAAGGCTTCCTAGCTTAAAGTTAGAGCCTATATACGTCCCACTGCTGGCCGCAGGCGTCCCCTCATTGCTGAGAGGGTTTTAGGGCAAGGAAGAGTCCGTCGCGCTGCCCCAATGCGTGTTGGCGAACTTCACATGTTTTCAAAATATTTTTTTCTTATTCCTCAGATATGCAGGTTTCCTCACGATGTTTTCCTTCACCGCCAAGCACGTGGTAAATCAGCAGTTAAAATTGCAATAAACAATTTCATTGATGCCGGCGGAGATGGAACCCGGGTTACTCGCGTTATGTTATATTTACTGCGAGCGTTAGCCATCTGAGCTACCACGGCTCAGCTTGCTGACTTATTGCCATCCCAATATTTAAAAAAAATTTGAAGAGGTTTCCTTGCTCTGTCGGTTTTGTATATTTGTGTGCAGGCTTGCGGAACAATAAATTATCCCATATAGTAGGCAACTACTATGATAAAACCGTTATTTATTATATTAATGTTACTTTTAGATTTTAATAGGGGTGGCTCTCGGCATCACACATATAACTTACGGCGACGGAAATATTAAGTTGGATATAGTGCCTGCCGACATGGTGAACAACGCAACTATTGTCGCAGCGTATGAAACTGCCAGAAGACAGGACACGAAGACGACAAAGATTTACACTGTGAGCAGCTCTAGAAATCCTATTTTATTTGGTAAATATTTTATAAAATGTCTTTTCTTAATACTAGAACTAATGATTATATATTTTATTGTATCTAGCGGCTAACGCCGATATCCATCTTAGGATATTACCGATTATAAAGTTACAGCCAATATAAGTCCCACAGCTGGGCACAGACTTTCCCTCATTTGATAGAGTGTTTTAGAGCAAGGAAGTATGCGCCGCACTGCCGCAATGCGTGTTGGCGGTCTTCCCAACTTCTTCTTCTTCTTCTAGTTATCTAAATATTTTTTATTTCTCAGACATGCATGTTTCTTAACAATGTTTTTATTAACCGCCGAGCATGATTTACAGCGAGCGCTAAGCCCCCGAGCTACCACGGCTCTTACTGGCTGATTCGAAGAAATTTCTGCCAGCAATAAGACTGCCCATTGCATTTTTAATTTGTATACAAATTGTTCATATGTGTTGTATAGTGTTCAAAAAAGTATATTAAATAAATAATATATTTAATAAACAGCCTAGCATAAAAGCCTACTCTCATATCTTAGAGGGGCTTAGAACAAGGATTATTTAAAGTTTTCAGACACGCAAATTTTGACACAATGTTTACCATCACCTCAGATCAGCACTAAGCTTACACGTTTACGGATTTTATCGCATTTAATTCACTTCTTTTTATATTTTCACGTTTCAAGTACTTTGCGTGCCGTGGGCACAGGAGGACTGAGATAGTCAACGTACCCTTAAATAAACAGAAGTAAGAATATCAGATTTCAAGTAATCTATTTAAACGCTTTTAGAAATGAGAGGTGACCTGTGACTATGTGATGTATGTAGGCTGTAATTTTTTACTCTACATCACTTTGAATAAAACTATTATTTATTCTACATCACTTTTACGCTATATTCATGTGGCTGCATTGTTATGTTAGCTGTATTGTTACTGCAGTATAAAAAGGTCGCTTTGACCGGGAATGCACCAAATTGACAGAATACCGACGTAAAATAGCGTCATAACATTATCGGTAACACCGTGGTATTAATAGGGCAGTGCATATGCTTTTCAATCTTTATCGCGGTAAGATATAGACAGGTATTTATGGGTTTCAGCATCTATCGATCATCACATGGACTGTTAACTTGTATTTCACACCTAAAGCTACTCTTTGTAAGTCTTGTTGCTGCAACCTCATCTTGTTTCTGAGCGGGTTTAAATGCGTGTCGGCTGATTTAACATTTCTACTAAATAATTAATATCCGAGACATGCAGATTTCTTCACGGTGTTTTTCTTCACTGCTGAGCTCGTGGTAAATATAGTACAAAAAATTACCAATAATTTCATTGGCATCATCAGGGGCCGAACATTGTTAAATTTTTCGCATATTGTTAAATTTATGGTGAACGCTTAGTCTATGAGCTGCCACAGTTTATATTTGCTCATATAATTACAATTTACTACCCAATTTGTTTCCAGGTAAGATGACGGATATCCTTTTGAATGTAGGGGAAAAGATTGCCACTACGAAAGCTATTTGGTACAGCTACACTAACGAAATTAAATATAAGTATGTATATAATTTGTTGACTTGGTTACTACACTTCATCCCTGCATACATTTTGGATGGTGTATGTCTATTGATCGGAAAGCCTCGCATGTGAGTATTTGAGCATCATTCATTTTGATGTCAATGTTGTTCCGGTCAATATCGACTGCGGCGACATTTTAAAATCATTTTTAAATAGGATAGGATACATTTATTTTAAGTACCTCTTTAATCATTGGGCGTTTGGTGACATCCTATATCGTCCACTAGATATCGTAAGAAGCTACTATGTGAGTTGCTAAAAAGGTCTCATAGCTTCATATAGATAGATGGTGCTATAACTAAGTTACGCTGATATCATCATCATCGTTACATCCCTTCACAAGTCAACTGCTGAACATAGGCCTCCCCCAAGTAATGCCACAAAGCACGATCACCTGCATCCATCGGCTTCCTGCATATCTTACCAGGTCGTCACTCCATCTAGTGGGGGGTCGCCCTACACTACGCCTATCGGTACGAGACTGCCACTCCAGAATCTTTATTCCCCATCGGTTATCGGTTCTTCGAACTATATGGCAGGCCCATTGCCACTTCAGCTTACTAATCCATTGGGCTATGTTGGTCACTCTGGTTTTACTGCGGATATCTTCATTTCTGAGTCCATCATGCAGGGAAACTCCGAGCATAGCCCTCTCCATAGCTCGCTGAGCGACCTTGAGCGTCCTCATACGGCCAGCAGTGAAGGATCACGTCTCAGATCCGTAAGTCATCACTGACACCACGCACTGGTTGTACAATGTAGTTTTCAGAGATTGAGGTATATCTGACAAGAAGATGTGTCGTAATTTCCCGAACGCTGCCCAGCCGAGTTGAATCCGTCCGTTGTTGAATGATTTTGATTGAATCCGTTGAATCAATCAAAATCAGTTTAATACGCTGATACGCAGGCGTTAAATATTCAAACCAAGATGTTTGATACAACGATCGTAAATCTAATTGCCGAAACTGGCGATCATGACAAATCCCTACAACGAGAGAGACGGATGTCCACTAATAGTCTTTTCTGGGCTGAAAATTCTAACCAAGAATGTAAGCTTAAACACAAATTCTCATACATAGGTTTCTGTAGTTACGATTACACTATAAGCTCCTAGGGAATCTTAGATACCATTCCAGTTCAGAAAACTGTCTCTAAGGGTATAGAAAAAGCTTATATAAGGTAGTGCAAGAACAAATAAGAGAATGCCCTATCCCATATCATTCCGTTAGTGTCAAACAAGGCGAAAGAGGGAAATTTAAATTAGACAGCAGCATCTTCCTGATAAAGAGCTAGGAATAACTGCCAACCAGCCCGCCACAATGGCGAATATCCTTTTTCCCTACGCAAAAATCTATCAGAGGCCCCTATGTTCAGCGGTGGATTTTTGATAGCCTGTAATGAATACATAAGTGAATAATGTAATGAAATGTACGTCAGTACCAAATGTCAAACATGAATTTTTCGTCAATATGGTGAATAAAATTTATTTTATTTATTTATTGAAACTAACAACTATCATGACAGGAGTAACCTAATGCGACAGTGTAGTTCTTTTTATGCATAACAAAAATGTAGAAATTAACTGTAACAAATTGTAAACAATCCCACCCTAGTAAATTCACTCAAGGAGCAATAGAATAGGTGCTTTATCCAGAAAATTGGTTCGGGCACGCGGAACGAAGAGCAGCCGCGGCCGCCGCCGTTTCGATACGTACCCGTCTGGAATACACAACCCAATCCGCCCCAATATGTCACTATTATATATTTTTCCTCTAAGCACTTTAAAAATATATAAGGCTAATGCGAGGTCTCGTCTTACCCTCAACTCGTTGTAGCCAACCATACCCAGAATAAATAAGGCTGGGTACATTAATGGGTACATAGGGTATATCCTATAATGGCGCATATATAGGTATCTAATAAATTTATTTTGCACACGTTCTAGCATTGTGCTATACCTTTTTTCATGTGGCGACCATATTACAGCGTTACACTCCAGATTACTTCTTACCAGTGTATTATACAGAGTAACGATTAAATTAATGTTAGTAAAACCGTGAACTGTGCGAAGAATTAAGCCCAAGTTTCTATAGTTTCTCTTTAGTCTCCCTAAACGATAATTCACTATTAAGCCGAACGCCCAGATCTTTAACTTCTTTAACCCTTTACCATTGGCGAACCATCAACTTCATAGTTATATTCAATGGGCGTGCGCTTTCTAGTAAACGAAATGGTAACGCACTTGGAGGTGTTAAACTGTAAACGGTTATTATTGCTCCATGCCACTACTCTGTTTACGTCCTGTTGTAGCTTTTCACAGTCTGACAATGTTTCTACGACATGATACAACTTGAGGTCGTCAGCAAAAAGAAGGCACCTAGATTGCTTAACTACCTCCGGCAAATCGTTAACCAGTAATAAAAACTGGAGTGGCCCTAAATTACTGCCCCGGCTTACTCCAGATTTTGTAATATATGGGTCCGACGTACAGCCGGCATATTCCACATACTGCTTTCTACCTGTCATATAGCTGGCAAATAATTTTAATAAATGTGGAGTGAAGCCAACTGCCGCTAACTTTTTTAGCAAGACGTCGTTATCCACTAAGTCAAACGCTTTTTTAAAGTCAAAGTAGGCGGCGTCGACTTGCACCCCCCTATCCACAGCGGGCACTACTTCAACCATGTAGCTAAGAAGGCTGCTAGTAGTACTTTTCATTGGGCGAAACCCATGCTGTGCTTCCGAGAGCTGCTGATTCACCTGCACGAATATTTTGTCATATATGACCGACTTTAACACTTTAGCTGCTGATGAAAGCACAGCCACATATATTATCGATATTCGTGTAAATGCGATCCTACTTTTCCTTTAGCAACAGGAACGACCCGTGTGATTTTCCATCTATCGGGAAAAACAGCATTGTCCAGACATTTGGAATATATGTACATTAATGGCTTACTTAACACGAAACGGCAGTCAATTGACCTCTCGGTCGAAGTTGGACTTACTTAGTCGGACTATTTGTCCCAGGTAAACGTACTCGTCAACAACTTCGAGCATAGTGCTTCCAACAACTACCGGCATAGGTGTAACATGGTCTTTGTTTTGTCCATATTCATCTTAAGACCTATCCGTTGGGAGACAACATTGAGGTCATTGAGCTTAGTGCTTAGGTCCTCCAGCGATTCTGCCATAAGAACTATATCGTCGGCAAATCGAAGGTGAGTGATTTACTCGCTATCGATGTTAATACCGTATCCTTTCCAGTCCAGTAGCTTGAAAACGTCTTCCAATGCAGCGGTGAAGAGTTTCGGGGATATAACGTCACCCTGTCTTACACCTCTTTGCAGTTGAATAGGTTTTGAACTCTGGTTCTGTACTCGGATAGCCATCGTAGCCCTACTGTATAAATACTTCAGCACTTCCATATACCGACAGTCAACTTGGAACCGCTGAAGGGACTGTAGCACCGCCCAAATTTCGACGGAATCAAAGGCTTTCTCATAGTTCACATACGCCAAACAAAGTGGCAGATTGTACTCTTCGGTCTTCTGCACAATCTGCCGCAAGGTATGTATGTGGTTTATGATACTGAAGCCTTTTCGGAAACCGGCTTGTTCGGGAGGCTGGAAGTCGTCGAGTCTGCGTGCGAGACGATCCATAATGACTCTCGAAAACAGCACGTAGACGCGGCTCAGAAGGAAAATCGTCTGTAGTTCTTCAAGAGAGCATTGTCGCCTATCTTGAGAAACAAGACCACCGCACTTCTGCTCCACGCCTCCGGAGTAGTGCCACCATGGAGGACGAAATTGAAGAGCTTCTGAAGGAGTTCAAGTACCGGTGTTTCACCCGCTTCCAGATCCTCTGTAATTCCATCCTCGCCTAGGGCCCTGCCGTTTTTAAGGTGACGGAGAGCCATTCTAATCTCGCTCAGACTGACGTCTCGTGATATCATCGGAATAGTGTCGGATAAGACTTGCTCTTGGATCGTTACTCACACAGCTGCCCATAGAACCTCTCAATCTCACTCAAAATCTCAGGTGTCCCGGACACGATGCTGCCACACTTAGTCTTCAGCTTTAACTGTTGGATCTTTCTGGCAGACAAATCTCTGGTAAAGACTTTGGAGCCCTGGTTCCGCTCGATCGCTTCTTTAATACGAGTTGTATTAAAGTTGCATAAGTCTCGCCGCATGCATTTGGAGATCTGTCTGTTCAGTTGCCTGTTGTTTTGTCAAATTAAATTGTCAAATCTGTTAACGATTGCAGCCTCATCTCCCGTCTAACAGCCATGAGATTAAGAGTGTGAACGAAGAGTTTTTGTGTTCTTCTGCGGTTGGTCTTGTAGAACTTAGCTCCGACCACATGGACAGTTGCCACGAGCTTGTCATTCATATCGTCCACTGTATTGCAATTTTCTAGGCACTGAAAGCATTTACGTAACTCGAGCTGAAAGGTTTCAGGATTCTGGCACGAGGGGGACGGAGCGTTGACTTACGTTTAGGTGTGCCTCTAATCATTCGATGATCGCTGCCAGTTTTCACCCTTGCGATCACTGAGACATTACTGAACAGTTGGCGTCTGGTCGTCATAATGAAGTCAATCTCGTTTTTTTTCGAACAGTCGGGGCTCGACCAGGTTTATTTTCTGTGGGGCCGCTTCTGGAAGAAAGAGTTCGTCATAAAGAGTACCTCTTTCTCCACGAAGTCGGCCAGCTTCTAGCCCCTTGAGTGCTGTTGCTCTATCCCAAATTTCCCTACTTTCAGCTCACCGTTCTTTTTTGTGCCCAGTTTTACGTTAAAGTCTCTCATTAACACCGTATTGTGAGTTTTGGAGGAATGCATGGCTCTAGAAATGTCCTCATACATTTCCTCCACCGTCACCGTCATACCGTTTGGTGATTCTGAGCATAAGGTACGCAACCCTCGTCGATACACTCCCACTCTTTAAAATGTTGTTAACGAGAGACTTGTGGACAATTAATTCAATACCTCCTTGAAGCAGATGGTCGCCCTTCCGGTGATAGAACAAGTTGCCGGATTCGAGGATCACCGCATCCTCCCCCTCTCTTCGGACCTCAGATAATCCTATTATATTCCAGCGCAACTTGTCTATCTCTCCTTCCAGCTCTAGGATCTTCTTGTCAGTCCTCAGAGTGCGTGCGTTAAATGTTGCCAGATCGAGTCGTCGTAGGTGGCAACCGAACCTCCACCGGAGATTCATAGCACCCCCTGCCCCGCCATTACCATGGTCACCACTGTAGGCTGGAATAGCGGGGCCGCCGGGGACTGGGGGCCGTCTATTTGTTTAATTCTTCATGGGGGAATATTGCCATAGTTGTCACGCTTAGCGAGCGGGTTGGCAACCGCAGTTTTTTCGTTGTTCAGTTGCTGTTGCCAGGAAGATGCTGCTGCCCATCTCCTGCCTGGTTCCCTCTGTTGCCTTTTACGACACCTACGGGAATATATGGGGTAGTAGATATTCTTAACCGCCACTACACGGCCAAGTAAAATTGGCCCTGTCGTTATAAGTCGTACACTTTTGGGTTTTGTAAACTGTTTTATTGACATTTGACATAAAATTATCGGAAAATTAGAAGTAATAGTAATAAGGTTATTTGTGAGAATTTGTGTGTATTTAAAATACTTTAAAAAATTGACGTATATCATGAGCGCTTAAGGCATGCACATTTGGATTTACCAAATATAATAATATTTTTTTATACAGGTTCGTGAAAATTTATAAAAAAGTGGAAAAATTGAGTTTAGCGCTTGGTTTCTTTACAACACATGACTGGATTTTCAAAGACGACAATCTGCGTGACCTGTATCAAAGTATATCGCCAGTTGACCAGAAAATATTTAATTTTGATATAATGTCAGTTGAGTGGGAAGAGAAATTGAGCTTTTGGGCTGCCGGTGTTGTGAAGTATCTGCTAAAGGACGACCTCAAAAACAAAGACAAGGCGTTAAGAAAAAAATCGATGTTTAGAATTTTACACTACATTGTATCGGTGCTATATCTATACGTTCTATGGAAATTATTTAAATTCTGTATCGACATGCTATTACATTTGTTAATGTGAAATATGTGTAAAGAAAAAGTTAATTAAATAATATTATTGGATTTTGTCTTTCATTATTACTAGTTTTTAGGAAGGTACCACTGATCAGGGATTGAATGCGGGTTCCAAATATCGTTCCAGTTCTTAATTATTCACATTGCGATTATAATAGCGCTGTCTTTAAATAAGGAAGTCATAAAATCGCATCGCATATCCCAGTCATCTCTTACGACATTCGAAGCTGAACGATCTACCATCGTCATCATCGTCATCAGCATCAAGGCGCACCTTTTGGATTTATCGTCGCGGGTTTGTAAGTCTAGATAATTATGTGGTCTCTCCTTATTTCTTTACATATCCCCTAAATATTATTTTATATACAGGCAGGTTTCCTCTATTTCAAAAAAAAAAATAGGGTATTCTCTTATGCCTCTGAGCTACTACATCTCAGTTGGGTGAATTCTTATTAATAATGTCCTCCAGACCGAATTTCGGTCACAGCGGCCAGCCTCAACGGAGACTAGCCATCGGCGCAGGACAGGATTATAGTGTCCAAGTGTATGCGCAAGCACAGGTGCACTCTCTATTCCCTCACTCTCATATCCCGATGGGACGGTAAACCGACACGACCGAAGAGAGATCAGGCGCAGGACCAACGGTTTTACGTGCCTTCCGAAGCATGGGGGTGTTATACCGCCAACTTCCTGACTCCGAGCAGCTATTGAGAATTTCTTGACGGAAAAACTCAATAATTAATTTTCCGAGGCTTAGAACTCAAGACCTCATGATCAGTAGTCGTGCCACTACAACTACTAGAACAACGAGGCAGAATTCTTATTATCTATGTAATATATTGTTTAGTAACTATACGGCCTTATTCATAAAAAAACGACATCACTTTAAGAAACGTTTAAAGATGCTCTCTCTTTTTTCACGTAATGCCGAGAAAATGAGACGGGTATAGAGATAGTTAAATTAAGTAAGCGTAAATTTATAAGTAAGGCCGAGTGTTTAAACATAACCAGCAATTTGTTGTCACCCTTACTCTATAAAAAAATATTCACCAAAATTTAGAGCAACACACTCATAGCGCGCGCTAGTCTCCGTGTTGCTCTAAGTAATACGTATACAAACAATTGTCGCGTGTGTAGAACGAGGTCCAGAAAGACAATGACTTTTGTCGCATAAATATTGATCCTGGCTAAAATTAAGTGGAGATTCAATGAATCTGTAGACAGGTATACTGACCGTTATGTCATCTGTGGATATTGTGCAAATGAGTCTTCATTCACGAACGCGCGGTCATTGGTTTAGTGAGATATGTATGTAACCAATCTAAGGTTTATTGTACAAGTAAATAAGTATATATATATTTAAGAGAAATATTGCCATAGTAAATAATAGCTTTTATTTATTAGATATGCTATGCTATCGTTTGCTCACAATTTCGCTGTGGCACAGAATCCGTAACGAGGATATCCGAGGCTGATCCAAACCCATTACAGTGCCACTGTATGAGATAAAAAGTCCGTTGTCCCTAAAGCTAAAGTACCGGATGTTCTATTATGATTGTTAAGGAGGCGATCTGGGAGTTAAACGAACTCTACTGAAGAATCGATTAGTATTTTATGATGAATATTTTAATTGAATTCAATATTTTAATATAGCAAAATTAATTATAAAAAATGTATTTGCATGCTATTCATAGATGGCTGAAAAAGCTGAATTACAATTTACAATAACCACCTAAATGTACCCATTTTCAAAGCAAATAAATCTTCTTTTTATTTAATTCGAAAAATACGTTTCGAATTTTCAGTAGAGTTCCCTAAACCCAGTAAAAACTGGGTCCACTGTCGAGACATTGTCGAGGACTGGCGTCGCAAATGTACAAGTTGTGCGGCTGTAAAGGGTCCTCAGACTCGTAGTAGAGGTGCATAGAAGTTATACAATGTAGGTGCACCATGGGAGAGAATAGCCTAGAGACATAGCGGGGCCGTTTCCGGAAATTGAAAGTGGTAACAAATATTTTACGGTTGTGATGGCTTACTTTACTAAGTAGCCAGAAGTTTTCGCCATTACAAATCAAGAAGCTTCAACAGTTGCAGATAAACTCGTTCATGAAGTTTTCTGTCGTTTCGAAGTACCTTTAGAGATTCACAGCGATCAAGGAAGGAATTTTGAGTCTCAACCAGATGGAGTAACGACCTAGTAAGACATAAAGGAAGTCGATGGATGCAGGATGGCTCAGGACCGTGCTTTGTGGCATTCCTTGAGGGAGGCCTATGTTCGGCAGTGGACTTGTGAAGGGCTGTAATGATGTTGATGATGAAGAGATCAATGCGTTGACCCATAAAATTTCATTTTATATTCCTGGATAGATTAGACGAAGAAAGGCAGGAAAAATAATGGATGCAGTTAAACACCGGAAACGTCGGGAATTAAAAATAAGTTAATTAAAGGCAATGAAATCCGTATATACAGGCGTTTACGGAGCGACTTGGGAATCCTGCTAATATCTGCTCGAATATTTTCTTTAAGTTGTGTCACAGTGTTCGGATTTGTTTTGTAAACGACAGATTTTGGTATCCCCATAAGAAAAAATCACACGGAGTTAAATCTGGTGACCTAGGTGGCCACGGTATGTTGCCGTTTCGGGCAATGTTTTTTCCAGGAAATAACTGCCGCACTGCATTCATCGACACACCAGCAGTATGAGCTGTAGCCCTGTCCTGCTGGAACCACGTGTTTTGGTTGAAATATGGAGTATTCTGCAATTGTACCCCAAAAAAATTACTTATCATCTCAGCATATCTCTCCGAATTCACCATTACGGTTTGGCCACGTTGATCTTCAAAGAAATACGGCCCTATTATGACAGACGCAGACATTGCACACCAGACTGTTACTTTAGGTTTATGTAAAGGCTCTTGATGCATTTGTCTTGGGTTGGAAACATCCCAATAACGAAAATTTTGCCTATTTACATATTCTCCAATTTGGAAATGGGCTTCATCACTAAAGAATATGTTATTCATCCGAGCAGCATTACGAAATTTCAATAACATCATTTCCGCATAATTTTTTCTTAATGCAAAGTCAGAATCGTGTAAATCTTGAACAATTTGAATTTTGTACGGATGAAACCTGAGTTTTTTTCGCATTATAACCTGTAAAGTCGATTTCGTTATTCCCAATGTCGATGAACGTGCACGAAGTGATAAACGTGGACTTTCAATTAGAGAAGCCATAACACGTTCAAGATTTTCCTCCGTAGCTACCGTTGGTGTTGGTCCCGGTCCGGATATATTTAATGCTGATCCTGTAGCTCTGAACCTTGCTACCCAAGACTGAATGAGGTTGATCGATGGTCCATCACGTAATCGACGAATACCGTAACGAGTATTAAGCCGACGGCGTGCTTGTGACAGCGAATAACCACTTGAAATGTACGCCACGGCGGCAAAAGCGCGGTGCTCTCCAATCCACTGCTCCATGGCTACTAAATAATCCGCAGTGCTTGCGCTTCGAACCACCCCCTTCCGCGCCCTTCTCGCATGTTGCGTTCGGAAACTAGATTCATTCAAACTTTGAAATCTGCCACTGGACACCCTGTATTTATTCAATGTTTATTGTTCGCGTAAATTTAAGAAATCATTAATAGAAGGAGTTGCTTAGCTGTGAGCAATTTCACTTCTTCTGGGTGGAGTATAAGTAATCAGTTAGGATGAGAAGGCGTTTCTTCCGTTATGGAACAGAACCGGCATATCCTTGAGTTGCTTGGTCCCAGGATGTACATGTGCTTTTTGAGACAACAGTGTTCAGTGAGGGCTCTTGCCAGAATGCGTAATTTAATCCTACTTAATCCCAGGACTTCTGAACCGAATTGACGATCAAAAACCCGGATTAAGGTTTTAGAATGTTTTCAGCCTGGCATGTCAGACCAGATCTTAAGTGATTTACTGTGATATAATTTCAAGGGTCAATCGGTCTAGGCTTTTTGAGATTCCACATAACGGGTTGGGGCCAAATTGTGTACTCTTTGAGGCCTCCCGTGCGAGCTTGTCGGCAAGTTCATTGCCTACAATACCCATGTAAACCGGAACTAGAGATGGCGATACTTTCCGAAAAAGATCAATTTTTAAATCGATTCGAATTGAAATCTTATGAATCGATTCACAAAAAATCGAGATCTAAAAGATCGATTTCTCTAAAATCGATATTTTTGTGGATTTGCTTTTAGAGTTTATATTTACAATATCAAAAGATACAACAAAGTATAGATTATAAACCTAATTTATTTTTATTTCTTTAATCTATTAAGAAGAGGTGAAAGAAACTGAGCTGAGCACACCGCAGTTTTGCGAGTTTTGAATAGAATAACTGTCATTCTTTACGAGTTTGGGTACATTCAAGTAATAGTAAATAATTTTATAGTTCTTATAAAAACAGAAAAAGATTCGATCTTGATTTTCTAGGGTGAAATATCGATTTACCGGATTGATTCAGTATTATATATCGATAGAAAAAAATTGTTCTTTTTGGTACAAGACATCGATTCTTCGATTAATCTCAGATCGCCATGCTTACGTTTAGAAGGTTCACGTAGTCTCCAACTAGCTTCAAGTTCACTAAGTTTGTCCTCAATGCTACTTGACTATCAGAGTTTATATAAATTATATGGTTGACATAGTCTTTTTGTAGATTGATTTCCATACACTGAAGTTTGGCGAAAATTTTTGCCTGGAAGATAGAAGTGAATCTACCCAAATTCATACTAAGTTTGAATTTGGGGGGTTCCTCATAAATTCCAAAGTCGATGGGTCAAAAGGGCCCATTTCGATCTATCGCTATACTATATGAGGCTACCGACCTCACAGATAACCTAGCCATTCAGCCAGTCTTCTCTGGAGGCTAGTTCCACTATATACATACTTTTAATTTTTATACGTGGTAGAGCCACGCTGCAACTATATCATGGTTGTTGCACGATTTGGGAGGGACCACGCTTTCACAGAATA